AAACCATTCTAGGCGACTTCACAACATAACCAAGCTTTCAATAGCATCATAGATTCTAGCATTCTTTCATCTCAAAAGACATCATTAGATGGAAAAAAAGAAGAAGAGATGTTCAATATCACACCACTAACACTATATAAGTGGAAAATCAACTACTTTTCAAACATCAAAAGAAGCTTTTATATTAAGAAGAATTGATTAAGGAAAGAAGACTAAAAACAAGGTCAAGAAAAACTTACTCATATGATGATGTTATTATAATTCAGTTCTTATGAAACAAGTATTCCAATGATTTAATAATGTTTGAGGCATCTTTCTAGTAAAGCAAAATAGTTGCACCATTTACTAGTGCTACCACATAGCCTTAGCTTCCACTCTTTCCAATCAAGTTTCTTAATTAAGATGCATATGAATGTCCTTTTTAGAGGGGAAAAATAAAATAAAAGAGTGACAATGTGTGAATTTTACATTATTTTTCTATCATAAATGAAAAGAAAAGAAAAGAAAAGAAACTAGCATGCATTGCAATGCACGTTGATTGACCAAGCAATAGGAAACTAGAGAAGTTGGATTACTAACCCATGAAATAGAAAATTTCTAAATTGAGCAACCAATATGTTGGCTTTAATTTTTTCTAAACTCTAGAAATCCATTTTGCTCCTCAAAATTTCGAAAGAAGAGTAGAGTTCTACTAGTAACTTTTTAGCTATAATCTCTTATGGACTTTTAGAGTAATTCCATTTCGGTTTACTATTCTCTACATTGTGTAAAGTTTAGTAATATAGAAAGTTTAACAAAAACATTAACCGAAAAACCTTTCCGGAAGAAAAATAACAAATATATAGAAGCATAAATTACAAAAATTTCAAAAAGGATAGAACATCAACTTTTAGTTATTAGACTATTCACTAAGACTAGAGGCTTTTCTCCATTTTTATGCTTAACATATTAAAATATTCAAAGGAAATTTACTCGAGGTGTACATAACAAGAAATTGATTATTATTATCCAAACCAACAACGAAGCCATTTGAATATTGAGTGGTCCGCATAAATAATCTTTCCACTCTTGTCTTTATTAGAAGTGGATGCTCTCAAAGTCATATTTCTCTTAAACTATGCAACTAGTTACTATGGATATGAGCACGATCTTCCTACATTATTTGAGTATTGTTTGTGTGGAGAAATGCAAGCATCAAATCTATAGCGAGTGTTTGCAATCCGAGTGTCCAAAAAGAACACATTATAAAAACAAGAACATAGAGACAAACCTACGAGAGAAGAAAATAATTCTATTATTTTAAGAAACCATAAAAAGAAAAACGAAAAAAAGAACATTAGTCATAAGCTAATTACAGTCTAACTCCAAAGAAAATGAAACAATCCAAATAAACAATTTTTATATTACATTGAATACCCTAAACTTGTTAGTAGAAATGATTAATTTAAGCTTTTCATTAACTAGGGATTGGGGAGTGCTAAACTTATATTTCTACTTCATTCTCCTTGTTTGTTCCAAATGTAAATTACGTAATCCAGTCTCACCCTCCCACCAATTTATAGTTAATAACATTTGAACACATATCTAGATTTGAGGCTAATGCAAAACCAAGTTAATTTTAGACCTAATTAACATGTGTGGTAATTATGTGTGTCTATGCAAAAAAAAAAAAAAAAAAGAAAGAAAAAAAAAAGAACTCGAACTAGATTCTTCTTAAAATTATATGCTAAATTGTGGCGGTCTCCCGAGAAAATGACCCGAGTTGTTCTCATATCTTCCATGCCTTCAATCTCGATTAAACTTTGGCACTCACTAACAAATAATCCCGGTCTTGTTTTTAATGAAATCGACACTCTTTTCAATGATGTGCAATCCCTCGCTTCAAGTCTCTTTAAACTTCGGGGAAGTTTTGAGATTGATAGTGGATTTGTGCGGTTAGAACTAATGAAAAAGAAGAAGAAAAAGAAAAAGAACCCTAATGAAATAGATTGAAGAAAATAGAGAAGAAGAGAAAACCTAAATAATCACAATTGGAATGTGCTTTTCTTATGAAATAGTTGAATTGAAAATATGAAGAAAAAACATAAATCCGAAACATGTATGTATAGAAGTCGAAGGGATGGGCAAGATAATGAAGTAGTTTTTCCAAATACACATGTGCTCTAACACTCGTCCTCGCTTGTAACTCATTTTTTGAGTCTATTAAGTGGCTTGAGTTCTAAGATTTTTATTGGACCGTTGAGCCTTTGATACTATATAAAATTAAATAGTTGAGATTGAATTCTATTCAAAATATTCAAGTCTTGGGATCGGTGGACTATTCTCAACCTTATATATTACTCATCTTTTATTTATCTATGCTCTAATAAAAACAATTCAATATGGACAATCAAAATAGAAATGTGAGAAAAGGAAATTCAAGATGATTTATTTGTTTTGTCAAACGATCATATGGATAAACACATTTTACCGTTTAGGACCACTCAGAGACATGAAAAGGCATGTAAAGATTGGAGAAAGAATCCGCATTTCTTTGCATGATTGAAAAAAAAAAAAAACAGAATATAAAGGAAATGGTATTTTGTTTCGAAAGGTAAATGATTCATAACATCTAGGATGGAATAAAATAATTGAAAAGATGAATCCTCTAGCTGAAGATGGGATGGAATTACGATACACTTATCCATCTTCTAACTCTCATTTGTGTTTATTAAAGCCTACACTTATTTACTTTGATCTTACACTAAAGAATTCACTCTCAAATGTTAGCTTAGAATGGAAGAACAACTCCATATTTATACTAGTTTCCTAACATAACAAAACAATAAACAAAAGCATGGAGCGTCAATGGCTCCTACACTAAGTCATGTAAGATGCCCACTATAGTGAGTGCATTTGGTGCACTAATGATGTCTCCGACTTATGATATTGGTTTTTAACATATGCAACGTTTCTTTCCCGGAAAATCCCATATTACATAAATTCCCATATATACTATTATCATTTACTACATTCAAGATATTAAATCACCAAGTTGATTCCGACATATACCACATAGTTGGAGCAAACTATTTATAAGGCCTCGTGCAAAGAGATGAAATATATTAATTATTGGAATTGGTTTTTCCTTGGTATTGTTCATTCAAATATCTCATGCCATTATACACCAAATTTTATACAAATCGGGTGGTCCTAATAACTGCCCATGATCGGAGGCAAAAATGGTGTTCCGAGGTAATTCTAAAAGGAACTGTCAAAGTTTGTACGGACTAAAGATTGTCAACATGCATATATGTTGCTAGCTATCATCTCTTTTTCTGTGGTCCAATATTAAAGCAGAAATTTGATGCGAATGTGTGTGGTTTTAGGAAATTGTTATAGAGGATTATCAACGATCGATGATATGGATCACAAATTGATGAGATGAAAAGCTATTATGATAAATTGGATATCTCCTATATTGCATGGTTACCTGAAAAAAAAAAAAAAAAAAACAAGAGAAGGGCCATTGTACAGGTTATAAATGACAACCTTCTTGTGACCTTTCCTTCGTACGAAGGGCCATAGTGTGGTCCTATGTTAGATTCAATTTCACATACAAACAAAAATTGGTTTAATGACTTTTTTTGCCCCTAAATCATTGGGGTCATAGCACATTGTGGCCTATAATATCTATTTCTTAATTTCATTTTCTGATTATTGTGTTTTGCATAAATATTGTCTCTGCATTTGATTTGGAGTTATCCTTGACCAAAAGCCCAATTAAGAAAGTTTAATTTTTGATAATTTTAGTTGAAAAATTTCATATATGCAAATAAAATTCAATCTGCTTTTAAAAAAAAAAAATTTGATGTCAAAAAGCATTTTTAGTTTTTTTTTTTTTTGAAAATTAAATATTACCAAATTTTTTTTTTAAAAAAGAAAAGAAATGGTCTCAAATTTTGTTGGAGGCTCTAAGAACACTATATAAATCTATGTGAATAATCTTAGAATGATTATCAAAATATTTACATGGTCAAGTATGTAATATCCAACCAAATTTAAAATAGATTAAGTTTGGAAACCACATATACAAAAAATTTGAGGATCATGCTATAATTACCAATGTAAATTCAGATGACCTCCTTAGGCTTCTTTAAAAATAAATGAGATAATTCTAGCTAATTTTCTTTCTAGTTTCAAAATAAAGAAATATTAAAATTATTTGTGACAGTGAATTGAATTTTCTTTAACATCGATGAAAATTTTAGGTTTAAAATACCAAAATGTGATTTAAAAAAAAAAGTTTTTGGTGAATAGTTACGGTCGAATCAAATAGAAGGATAATATTTGTCCAAAACTTGATAGTTTACGGATAAAATTGATCAAATTCATAGTATGAATCTAAATATGCCACAATTCCAATAGTTCGGGAGCAAATATTGCCATTAAACAAACAAAAGTTGTAGCCACTAGCATTGCTCTATATATGACCAGAATCTCTACATTGTGCAGGCAACAGAGCAAATAGAGAAAGAAAGAACGAAAGGTTTAGAGAGATGGCTAGTGATGTTTTAGATGACAAGCCTCATGCAGTTTGCATTCCCATCCCAACTCAGAGCCACATTAAGTCGATGCTTAACCTAGCAAAACTACTACATCAAAAAGGCTTTCACCTTACCTTTGTTAATACAGAGTTTAACCATAAACGTTTGCTTAAATCCAGAGGTCCAGATTCCCTGAATGGTTTGCCCGATTTTCGGTTCGAATCCATTCCTGATGGTCTCCCTCCTTCAGATGAGGATGCAACCCAAGATGTTGCTGCAATTTGTGAGGCTTCTGAGAAGAGCTTATTAGCCCCATTTAATGACCTGCTTGACAAGCTCAATGATTCTGCATCTTCTAATGTGCCTCCAGTGACTTGCATCGTCTCTGATGGTTTTATGCCCATCGCTATCGATGCTGCTGAGATGCACCAAATACCCATTGCTTTGTTCTTTACCACCTCTGCTTGCAGCTTCATGGGAATTAAACAATTTAAAGCACTCAAAGAAAAAGGTCTAACCCCACTAAAAGGTAAAAATTATGATATTCTATTAGCTCCACAAAAATTTATACTCTTGACCTCCCCAAACGCCTCATCCCCTGCTTACAAAGAACGGTTTCTACATTTAATATATCCTCCTCTTAGTAAAATATTTGTTCACGTCTTTGTATTTTCTTCCATCTCCGTTTTCTTCGGTGATTTATATTATTACTAGCATTACATTTATAAACTAGCACTAACAGTAAAAGTTTTCAATTTTTGTTTGCAGATGAGAGCTTTTTAACTAATGGCTACTTAGACAAAGTAGTGGATTGGATCCCAGGAATGAGAAATATGAGGTTAAGGGACCTTCCAAGTTTTTTTCGTACAACAGATCCAGATGATTTTTTGTTTAACTTCTGCTTGGAATGTGCTGAGAAAGCTTCTTCCGGTTCTGCAGTTATTCTCCATACTTTTGATGCTTTGGAGCAAGAAGTTTTGCAAGCCCTTTACTCTATTTTTCCTCGTGTCTTTCCGATCGGTCCACTTCAATTGCTTCTCAATCAAATGCAAGAAGATAATCTAAATTCTATTGGGTGTAATCTTTGGAAAGAAGAAATTGAGTGTCTCCATTGGCTTGACTCCCACAAACCCAACTCAGTAATTTATGTGAATTTTGGTAGCGTAATAGTCATGACGAAGGAGCAGCTCATTGAATTTGGTATGGGATTAGCTAAAAGTGGCTATCCATTTCTATGGATAATAAGGCATGATATGGTTACTGGCGACGCTGCGATATTGCCACCAGAATTCACAGAAGAAACCAAGGAAAGGAGCTTTATTTGTAGTTGGTGTCCGCAAGAGGAAGTTCTCAACCACCCATCAATTGGAGGTTTCTTAACACATAGCGGATGGGGTTCAACAATTGAGAGCATTTCTTCTGGGTTACCTATGCTTTGCTGGCCTTTCTTTGCTGATCAACAAACGAACTGTAGGTTCACATGCTCTGAATGGGGAATTGGAATGGAGATTGATAGCAATGTGAAAAGAGATATTGTGGAGAAGCTTGTGAGAGAATTGATGGAGGGAGAGAAAGGTAAGAAAATGAAAAAGAAAGCTGTGGAGTGGAAAAAATTAGCAGAAGAGGCCACTCGTCCTACTGGTTCATCATTCATGAATTTAGACAAGTTGGTGAAGGAAGTGCTATTGTCATGAAAGAAATAATATTGTGTGTTTAACAAAAGGTACTTACAGGTCAAGATTAATGTATTGTTCTCAAGGTGATTGTGGTGCTTGCGTTGCCAATATATATATATATATATATATATATATATATTGATCTTCTTGTGTATGCTACCCAAAGGCTTTGATGTGTAAAATATTTTTTCGTATGGCAGGCTAATTCTCATAGAGAATCACAAGATGTTACCCAGTATATGTTGGACTTATGACTCATATTCCTTACATTAATAGCCAAGTAAATAAAAAGAGTAACGAATAAGGATTTTTTTGTCCACTAAAGTTTGCTTGTCCCTAAACAATGTTTACATTGACAAGTTTCATTTACTATAATATAATTTAATAAGAATGAAATTTTTATTCTTTTGAAATGAAAGGTGAAAGATATGTTTATTCAACAAGGCTTGGATAAAATGTTGAAGAGAAAAGATGAGAAGGTAGAAGAGATGGAGAAGCACGAGTGGAAGGAGTTGTAAACAAGATGTGTAATCACAATTTGATTATGTATTGCTAATAACATTGTCAATAATATTATGAATGAAGATTTGATGTTTGCAATATGGAATAAAGTTAAAAATATATATTTATATGACAAAGAGTTTAGTCAATAAGTTACATCTATAGTAGCAACTTTACAAGTTAAAGATGGAAGAAGGTAGAAATCTCATAGAATACTTGAATGTGCTCATCGATATACTAGATCAATCGTAAAAAAACTGATATCTAGATTGAGAAAGAAGGCAAAACCCTTTTACTTCTTGTCTCTTTTCTCAATTTATATGAAAATTTGATGATGACATTGCTACATGATAAGTATCATGCAATAAATTTAAATCAAAGTATACGCTATACTTTTATCTCGTGAGATGTAGATAAAGTCAAAATAAAGCTATCGAAATTTCCTTATTCAATTTAAAGTTTAAGACTTTCTAAAATGGGCTCCCTATTATTATGAAACCATTTTTTCTTTCAAAATAATAGCCTTTATTGACTATACCTCCAAAATTTACTAGATTATTACATATTATTTAGTGAACTTCTTCATTATTAGCTTCTTCTTTTAGTAAAGAAAAACATATAGAAGATGGAGAAGTTCCTATTCAATGGCTGCGTTATCAATAATTTGAGGCTATTAGGAATTGGCTACAGATGCAAATTAATTAATTATTATGTATTTTGTTTAATACATAGCAATATATTAATGTCTTTATTCTACCTCTTTGTTCAATCCTGTTTGGATTACTTTTACATCGACTAGTTAATACTGAAAGCGATCCATAATGTTACTTTTGTAGAGAAAAGCAAAATATTTGATGGATGCTTTCACTACACTAAAATACAAATTGTCCCTGCATTGTTTTATGCCGTAGAGGCCCCTACGTTGTCGGCATCTCTATGCTTTTTTGACAATTTTCCCAACTGCCAGAAAATGTTGCAATAGGTGTTCGGCAACATGACTTTTTAATGTCGTTAAAACCCTCTTAAAATGTCAATTGTGTGGTGCTTTTTTTGTGTTTTTTGTTCTTCCAGAATATTTGCGGTGGCCGATAACAGCCTCTGAATTCCTTAGATATTTTATATTTTAGCAAAAAATAATCTGGAATGGATAAAACTGCTATTAACTTTAAAATCCTAATCAAGTTTCAGTTTATAGAGGTAGCTGTTTAATAGCCTCTAGTTTTTTTTTTTTTTAACTGCTAGATTTGATGATTCTACTCCTTTTTTTTTTTTTTGTCAAAAAAATAAAATAAATAAAAAATAAAATTTCACCTTATTGAATGAAAATAAAAGAAGATTATATAGCTTACGCAATGTTCAATGTCATAACCCAAATCCCCCCCCACCCTCCAAACCTCCCAAAAAAATCCCTTTTATCTTTTTTATTTTATCCTTTATTTTCTTATCTTTTTTTATTTGTTTATTTTTATTTCTACTATTGGAATTTACTAAAAAAAAATAATCAAAAATACAAAAAAAATACAAAATACAAAATACAAAATTACACATACAATTGAATCAAACAAAAGTGAAATTGAGGCAATCACATAAGCTCTCAAGTATGAGACTATGCAGTAGGACTCTCAGCTCTCTATTGGGCCTTGGGTATTATATTACAGAACCTCTAGCAGTCTCCTGTCCCTTCTATTGACCTTCTTATAACCCAATAGTCAATCCTTTCTCTCAATAGCCAATACCATGAAGATGTTACAGAAGATCGTGATAATGTGAACTAAATTTATTGGTTTTTTTTTTAAAAAATATCAATATTTTTATGCATCTTAATGCAATTATATTTATTTTATTTTATTTTTTATAATTTTATTTTATTAAATAATACATCTTGTTTTAATATAGTGTTATTTATAGTTGTTTGTTATTACAATTATCAATAAATGGATATTGATTTTTTTAAAAAAAATTAGTAACGAATTTAGTGACGAAATAGAGAGAGAAATTAACGATGGAATTGCGAGGTAGCAACTATAATTTAGTGATAGATCATTTCATCTCTATCTAGCGATAGATTTAAGTGGAAATAGTGATGGTATGGTGACGGATATGAGACATTATAGACGACTAATTTAGATCGATTTAACAATGAAGAGGCAACAATGTAGGGATAGATATTTCATCGCCGATTAAAGGATGGAAGAAAAATTCGATCGCTAAAAACATAACGACCACCATATTAGAGATGGTATACATATTGTCTCTAATCCGTCACTAATTACTTATAGCAATGAATTTTTGACAAATAGCGATGAAAAAATTCGTCGCTATTTAGCAAAATTCTTATAGTATAGCCTTTTCATAATTCATAAGGAGTTAAAGGAGTGACTTTATAAGGAATTATATTCAAACCAAAATTTGCGGACAAAACGACTTCACCTCATAAATTATTTAAAGCACTAGAACTAACAACTATAGAATTTATCAAATCAATTAGGGTTCTGTTCTTCCACTTAGCTACATTATTTGGACAAGGTGAATATGGGGCTTTAACTTCATTCACAATAACATTAGATTGACTAAAATTATTAAAATTAATAGAACCATGTTCCATACCTCTGTCACTTTGAAGCCTTTTGATTCTTCTAACAAATCTATTTTCAACTTCTTTTAAGAAAATAGTAAATTTTTCAAAAGCTTCATTTTTATGTTTCATAAGAAAAACATATGAATAGTTTGAAAGGTCATCAATAAAAGTTATAATGATTACCACCATGAGTTAAAATACTAATAAACTCATATATATCGGTATGTATTAATTCTAATAATCTAGAATTATGATCAACACTTTTAAAAGACTTTCTTGAAACTTTAGCCAAGCTACAAGATTCATATTTTTCAAACTCATTTTTATGTTTAGAAAGTAAACCTAGATTACTTAAGTCGTTCACATATTTGCAATTTATATGACATAATCTTCCATGCCAAACATTCACACAAGAAACAATTTAAGTAGAAGTGGCCTTTCATTATTCATTTCAATATTAATTAAGTTTAAATATCCCTTCATAAGCATAGACTTTTCCAACAAATAGGCTTTTTTTGAAAAGTACATATTGGTCAACTTCAATAATTTGTTTAAAACCAACCTTATTCAAGAGAAAACTAGAAACCAAATTCTTTTGAATTCTAGGAGCAAACAACACATCCGTGTGATTAATCTCACTTCCAGATGTAAGTTTCATGAGTGCATCTCTAACCTCCACTATATTAGTAGTGTGAGAATTACCAAGCATGATTTTCTTTTTCTTACCAAGATTATATAAGTCTAGAACAAGCTTTCATCATAAGAGACATGTCAAGTAGCTCATAAATCAATCCATCATCCATCTAAGCGTTTGGGAATATTAATCTCAAAAATCATAGCCACAAGTGGGTATTTGGTAATGTTAGCTTGTAAAACAAGCTCATATTT